CCAGCAAAGAATTACGCAGCCCAAGATGTCAGTGGTGCTGAGGTTGAGAAATCCTGTTCTATAGGAGTAACTGAGTTCATTCTATATTTTACTATTTATCCTTAATAAACAGATGAAGAAAAATAAAACAACTCCCTCCATAAACAAATTCACATAGATGCTCCACGGAGACAAGAAGAGACAGAAGCTATGCTGAGACTTAAGACTTAGATGATTACTTCTATCACAAGATAAACGATGATTACTATGCTAACTGGTTTTACCCTTAATTATTTGTTTTACTCATTATCCTCGTAGAGCCCAGCAAACTAATTAAGCTCATATTGCTAAAACTGAGAATAATATTTTTAAATGGCTTAAAGTGGTATTCCTTCTGAATACATTTTTTTCTGATGACCATGTCTGAGACAGGTGCCATCATATACAGCCCCGAAGAACAGGGGATGTCCCCTCCCTCCCTTACCACATTGCCACTCGTTCCTGGACACTCTTAACTTCCCCCTTCTCATTCCTCACTCAGCTACCCCCAAAAATGTTTAATGAATACCTATTTGGTCCCAGGCTCCCTTTGCAGCTGAGACACAGCACTGAACAAGACGCCAAGATCTCTCCTCTCCTGGAGCTTACGTTCAGGGTGCAGGGGACACAGACAGCAAACATAAATAATAAACAGTAGCAACTTTTGGTTATAAGATTAATACTAGGGATGTAATGTCCAACATAATAAATATAATTAATACAGCCATATGAAAATTGTTGAGAGTAAATCCTAAGAGTTCTCATCACAAAGAAAAACATTTTTTCCCTATTTCTTTATTTTGAATCATATGAGATGATGCATGTTCACTAAACTTATTGTGATAATTATTTCATGAGGCATGTAAGTCAAATCATTATGCTGTACACCTTAAACTTGTACAGTGCTGTATGTCAATTGTATCTCAATCAATCTGGAAAAAATATGAAAGAAATAATCTGATAAAATTAATTAAAATCTAAAAAAATAGACAATAAATAGGTAAACTAATTCCAGAGAGTGGTGGGTGCTATGAAGATAAGTAAAACAGGGTAAAGAGGTGGGGGGAATGGGTGGGTGGGCTGGGAGTGAGGGAGTCAGCAGTCTCTCCAAGGAGCTGACATTTGAGACCAAGAATGATGCAAGGGAATTTCAGGCCAGGGGAAGAGCCCTCTCAAAGGCCCTGAGCCAGAATGAGTTTGGCATGTCCAAGGAATAGCAATGAAGCTGGAGAGGAGTGAGGGAAGAGGAGAATGGCAGACATGGAGACGGTCAGGGGCTGGATTCTGCAGGGTGCTGTGGGCCGTGGTGAGGAGGGTGGATTAGATTCCAGGTGGGATCGGAGGCCCCCGGAGTGATGCATCTGACTCATGTTTTAGAAGGGTTACTCTGCTCCTGGGTGAAGAAGGAACTGCAGGGATCAAGCATGGAGACGGAGACGGAGACAGAGACACCGATCAGGAAGCTGCTGCTACAGCCCAGGTGAGAGATGAAGGCTTGGACCAGGGCTGTGGTAATAGAGATGGTGAGAAGGGATCAAGTTCATTAATCCCCAATATTTGAGAGCTAAACGAGGCCTTAGAAGTAACTCATTCTAACCGTGTTATTTTACGGATGATGAAACTTGAAGGTCCAAAGAGGTGAAGTGAGTTACACATCGTCATATACCTAATTACTGACAAACCCCAGTTTCCTGACTGCCATCACGACACCTGTGCCCTTACCTGGCCATCCCTAGGCCTGCGTGGGGAATGCAGAATACATGTAGGAATATGAACCCTCTAGAAAGTAGTCCCAGTCAAGTCTAAAATAAATGACTACCTTTGCTGAGGGCAAGGTCACCAATGACCTCCTAGCTGAATCCAATGGGTCCTTCCTTGGGGTCTCTCCAGCATCTGACACCTTTGACAACTTTCATTTTTTCCTGAGACTCCCTCTTCCCTTGACTCCCCTGACCCAGCTCTCTCCTGCCTCTCCCCGCTTTGTTCCCTACCAGCCTTATACCTACCTGGAATCATCCTGTCCTCTAAGTGTTACTGTTTCCCAAGATGCCATCTGGGGCACTACTTCTTCCTCTCATCTGCAGAGGAAATTAACTATTTACTTCCCTTCCTTCTCTTCCCCTTGCTCTGTAGTTGCCCCTGAGTTTCCTCTGAAGACTCATCCTTTTCCTCCTCTGAGCTCATGTGCCTTCATGGATGTGACACACCATCGACACCTGGTAAAGAGCACATTCCAAGTCCCTCTGAGCAAATCAGTTTATGAGACGTAACAGGACTGTTGCTGGGATAACTGGGAGAAAGACAGCTTTCCCCCGTCCATTGGATCTGAACCTGCAGCTTCGCCTAGCCATCGCGAGAGGACAGCATGAGACAAGGGGAGGTAAGAAAACAAGTCCTGATCAATCATTTGAACCCTGAACCCATGCCTGAAGCCAAATACAACTCTTGAGCTTTTTAGTGATAAGAGCCAATAACGTTCCTTCTTGCTTACGCCAATTTGAACTGGATTTTCTACGACTTGCAGAAGAAGAGTCCTATTTGATACCTCATCTCTCTGTGTGCTCCGTCTCCATACTCACCAAAACAATGATGACTCCAAAATCTCCATCTATAGCCTAGACAACCCTTGGGGGCTCCAGATTCATATCCACCCACCTAGTAGATGTTTTCCCCCATATGTCACACCCAGACACCTCAGATATAACGTGCAAAATGGAATTCATCATCTCTGCTTCTACCATCTCAATATGCTATTCTTCATGCTTTTCTCTACCCTAGAAAAAAAATCACCACCCACCCAAATCACTCAAGACAGAACCTAGGACATCCTAGACCACTCTTGTCAGATAATCCTGATGGGGCTAAGGCCATGAATGACACTTTCTGTGTGACCTTGGGTAGAGTAATGGACATACCTGAGCTTTGGATTTTCATACAGAATTGCTAGGATTCAATGAGGTAATGTATGTAGAGCAATAAATGTTGGTTGGTTCCATTCCCTATCACAGACATCTAGTGCACCACTAAATCCTAACTCAAAACTTCGTCCTCGGGCTTCCCTGGTGGTGCAGTGGTTGAGAGTCCGCCTGCCGATGCAGGGGACACGGGTTTGTGCCCCGGTCCGGGAAGATCCCACGTGCCGCGGAGCGGCTGGACCCATGAGCCATGGCCGCTGAGCCTGCGTGTCTGGAGCCTGTGCTCCGCAACGGGAGAGGACACAACAGTGAGAGGCCTGCGTACCGCAAAAAAAAACAACAAAAAACTTTGTCCTCACTGCCATTACCCCAGCTCAGAGCCTCACCATCTTTCCCCTGAATGACAATCAGATGTTTCTATCTCATCTTCTTGTCTTTGATCTCACCCTCACTCCAATTTGTCCTCCCCACTGCTACAAGACTGATCATCCCCTACACAAACGTGGTCATGCCATATCATTCTTTGGCATCTGCAGAATCTATTCATTTACAGGACTCTCCACTTCAGCTATACTGAATAAATCACAGTTCTCCAAGTAAGCACTGCTGTTCTCCAGTTCCATGACTTTGTACCTGACAATGGTTCCATTGTCCAGAATGCCCTTTCTCTCTCTATTCTCCCACCTGGAGAAGAGCTCATCCTTAAGACTTGGTGAAAAAAGTCACTGTAAAAATAGAAGGAAATAAACATGCTACACTGGCTAAAGAGGCTCACCAGCAAATTCAAACCTTGACCTCCCCAGTGTCAGAAAGGAGGGAAACTGAAGAAAAGTAAAAGATATAATTTTAAGTATTTTTAGGTGAAAAAAGCAAAGTAGGAATGGAGAGGAAAGAGAAAATTTAGGAAAATTTAATTTTGAGATAGGAGAGGACTTCCGAAAACAGAAAACTTGAAGCCATAGAGAAAAGTCTTGTAGATTTAACCACATAAAAATTAAACACTTCTGCACAATCAAAGGTACAATAAGCTGGGAAGACAAAAAAGGCAAGATATTTGATTTATTAACAAGAAAAGGATTAAAATCCAAAATTTAGAAAAAGCCTCAAAAATTGATGAAATCACCAACAATTCAATGGAAAAATTGTTAAAGGATTTGTTGGGCAATTTGAGGGAGTGTAAATTCATTAAGCTTTTTGTTGTTTTAAGGGTAGACATGGAAGAATCTATCAGCACTTAAAGTGCACATAACTTTGATATTGAGTGGTCTCCAAGATATAGGTTAAATTTTTTTAATTCCATAAGCAGAATGGGGGTATTTAGCATACTACCATATTTATTTTTTTAGAGGAAGAAAACAGAAGATACATTTAATTGGCCTATAGACTCATGGACTGTCTCTAGAAGAATACACAAAAACTGGCAAAATTAGTTGTACCCAAAAAGGGAAATAGAGGGCTAGGGTAGGAGGGAGGTGTTACCTTTTATAGCCTTTGAATGTCATTCTTTATGCATACTACCTATCTCCAAAAAGTAAACCTAAGTAATTAAACAAATTCAATCTCTTTTTCTGCACAGTCTCCAGATCCCAATACACACAGGGAATTCTGCTTAAATAAATGTTTAAAATATACATTCGCTTTGACGCACTAACTCCACTTCTAGGAGTAACTTTTATCCAGAAATACTCTACAAGTACACAGAGACTTATGTACAAGGATGTTCACTATAGAATTGTTTATAATAGATGAAGTTGGAAACAATCTAAAAGTCCCTCAGTAGGAGAATGTTTAAATGAGTTACAGTGCATCTGTACTATGAAATACTATGTAGCCATTAAAAAGAATGATGGGTATCTATGATATTGATATTGGAAGACATCCAAGTCTTACTGTTAAGTCAAAAAAGTAAGTCACAGAGCATATAATTATATATGATCCCCACTTATGTATTTTTAAAGGTATATCCAATATACTAAGGTTGGTCCTAAAGTTGGAAATGCAAATAATATTTTTATCATGTTTTACAATATAACATCAATAAACTATACATTATGTATTCATATTCACCTGTATTTCCAGACTGGGTGAGCATTTATTTCTGCATTGAAAAAGACCTAGAAAATAATACAGGTACAGTGGTTACCTTTCAGATGGAGTTGAGGTGAGGTAGAGGGAACTTTGATTTATTTTCCTATATATTTTTATATAAATCTTTTATAATAACTATATTTTTGAAAAGTTACTACATTCCTGGCATGCTTTCCATTATTTATCCAAGGTCACAGGTTTGTAAGTGGCAGGGCTGGGTGCAGGCTAGCTGACTTCAGACTGTGCTCTTAATACGGTGTGGTCTTACCTGTTACTTGAGTATAAATCAAACACAAACCCAAAGCAAATGCACCTCCAGGTTTTACTCTGGCCACACTGAAAACTCCTTCCTTTATGCTCCCATCGTTCCCTGAACATATCTGCCATGAATGCCATCCTCTGCCCTGCTGTGCACATAAACTGGCCAGCGAAACAGATAACAACTAGTGTGAGCACTCTCTTGGTGTAGGACTAGAATCACAGATGAGATTAGTACTGGCTGAATGAATGAAGTACTGAGTCACCAGGTCAATGCTTCTTCCAAACTCCAGGTAGCACAGAGCGCTATCTCCAACTTGGTTGATGTTTTCTGCTCTCCAAGCAAAACAGCAAGAAGACACCACTTCTCCCCTGCAGTCATGCTTTACTGCATCTCAGAAGGACAGCAAGTACTTCCTAAGGTTGCAGGCTCGCAGTCTGCAGGTCACAACCAGCCTGAACACATAATTTGGTTGCCTGGCACATTTCGAAAAATGTTTTGAATTAGTTGCCAACTTTACAAACATGAAGCTTTCTCCCATGAAAGTTTGCAGCTTCCCCCCAAATCCAGATCAAGCAGTGTGCTGGAACCTTGTCCCACCTGCTCCTGTCTCTTTATGGGAAGGCATGCTCTACACACAGCGCCCCACCCCGCCCCCCCGCCCAGCCCTCCTCCTGCACGCAGGCTTCCTGACAGGCCCCAGCAGCAGAGTTTACATCACAGAACTGTACCTCCTTTGCCTGACATTTAGATCAGTTCCAGCTCAGCCCATTCGGTCCTCCACAGAACCCAAACAAGGAACGCGGCCCCTCTGATCACGCGGCCAGGCCTCGTTCCTGACCCCCGCGGCACAGGGCTGCAACACAAGAGCATGATTTGACTACCTGAGGCTTGGACTTAGTTTCTAAATGCCAAGCAGGCCTCCTTGGGAAAAGTTCCTATTCTTCCCGTCACGGCGCTGGAGCAGTAGGGCAAAAGAACATCCTGAGCTCCAGGAGCCACCTGTGTGATGGAGCCCACGTGAAAAGCACTGCCAAGTCAAAAGACCTGAGTTCAGTCCGGGCTCCTTCCTTGCTGGGCAGAGCACTTCTCTCTTGAGTCTCAGTTTCCTCGCCTGTAAAATGAGCTCACACCATCTTACAGGGCTGTTACGTGAATGAGATTTTAAAGTGTATATAAAAGTGCTTGGAAGCATCTTAGAAGTATAAAATGAGTGTAGACTAAGACAGCAAAAGAGGGGCACGGTGGAGGAAGTGACTGAAATGGGTGGTTGGATCCCAGTTAAAGAGAGCTGGATGAAGAACCGCTGTCTGTACCATCTGAGGTACCTCCCACCTCCTCTCTCTGCTTTGGGGGCCTGGGAAAGGCATTTCCTAACCTGTCTCCGTGGCGCAGTAAGAGGGATGATGAGGGAAAGCCACCTAGTATTTCCCGACGCAGTAGCTCTCGGAAGCTCATTTCCAGGTCCAGGTCACTGGGGAAGAAGAGGCTAGGCGGAATCTGCGCTGGCTGGATGGGGAGGGCGCACGGTGATGCCCATTCCACCGCCACCCCCCAGCCCCCCTCCCTCGCCTGGTGTTATCATTATCCCAATTGGACACATCAAGGAGCTGAAGTCCTTTCCCTCCAAAACCACACCACCTTCCCAGGCAGTAGGATCAAATGACCTGCTCTTGAAAGCACTTTGCAAAACAGATGAAAGGTACAATAAAAAACAAAAATAGTCTCAAAGATGTGAGATAAAGTGATGCCAACAAACCACTGTGTGGTTACTGGAGACCAGACCCTTCTGAAGCGCCCCAGAGCATCCCAGTTAAACAACAGACAATTCTCATCCCACATGCCTTTGTCAAAAGGTTGCACAGGAGTTAAGCTCTGGCCCAGAAGGTGGGCCAAGTGCCCCCAAAGCTAACCGAATCTCCCTCTCGAAGACCTGAGGAACAGAGACGCCTACCCGGCGGCGCTAAGGTGGGCCGAGCGACTTCTGGGCGCATCTTCCACCCTGCTCGAGAGACAGCGCCCTGAGCCCCGACAGAAAAGATGTAGCTCACCTGGTCCTCACGGATTTCAGCTGAGGGTCGAGGCCGCTCTGCCCCACACACCTGTCCCGGAGCGGGGCGTAAAGCCCCTCGGCCCGATCCCTATCAGCCGGGTCGCGGGCCCGCACGAAGGTCTTCCCTTTCCGGGGGTCTCAGAATGGGGCTACGGGCGGCGCCGGAAAAGCGGGGCGGGCTAGTGGGAAGGGCCTCTCAGAAGCCCCTGGCCCCAGGGGAGGGGCGCGCCCCCAAGATCTTCCGACAAAGAGCCCCGGCTCCCCGAAGCAAGACGGAGTGCGCCCGGGAGGACAGTCCCCTACCTCCAAGGGGGCGCGTAGAGAAGCTATGCGCCGTGGGGGCGGGGAGGCGTTGGGGAAGGGGGCGCAGAGACCCCGCCGGGCCTGTGCCCTCGCGCCCTCCCGCCCCGCACAATGAACTCGGCCACGCTCCAACCCTGCCAGCGCCCCCTCCCCGCCCGTGCCCGCGCCCCCGCCCCCGCCGGCGCTCACCCGGGAGCCGACGCCGCGGCAGCTCAGGGCCCCGCCTGGCCGCCTCCCCGCCTCGGCCGCCGCCGCCGCTTCCTTCCTCCCGGCCGCGCTCGGGGACCGGAGGTTTCGGGTTTCACCCCGCCGAGCCCCGCTTCGCTCCTCCCGCCGCCCCGCCACCAGCACGCGGACCCTGCCCGGGCGCAGGCCAAGTAACTTTGCGGCGCTCGCGCCCCTCCTCCGCCCGCGCCGCCCGCCCCTCCTCCGCCGTCCCGGCCCCTCCGCCCGCCGGCCACCCCAGTCCTCCCGCGCCCCGCACCGCCCCACCCGAGCCCCGCGCGCCGCCTCTCCTCCCCGCCCGGGCGCCGCCGCTTCCCATCCCTCACGCCCCTTCCTTCGCGTCTGCCCTCCCTCCCGGCCACTGTTCCGTTTCTTCCCACGATCGGCCTCAGCTGCTGCTCTTTGTCTCGCCCCTACTCTCTCGGCTCGCACCACTGCTCTCCAGTAAACCTTTGTGGTCCCTCCTCGGGCCTTCCCCGATCCCGTTCCTCCGTCCCAGTTCCAGCCGTTGGGACGTCCCCTTTTCCATTTGTCTCTCCATCACGCTTATACTTTCGGATTCTTCCCGTAGGCTCCGCACAGTCCCGTTCTCCTCCTCCAGTCTCGCCGTGGACTCCTGGCATTGCCTTTCCTGCTCACCTTTCATTCACGTAGCCAACGTGCCTGAGCGTCTGCCTGGTGCCAGGCAGTGTCCTGCGCCCTGGGAATATCACAGTGAATCAACCCGCGAAGCCAGCCTTTGAGGAGCCCGCAGCTCCTGGGAGTGGGAGGGTGGATGTAAACAGTTGTTTACAGTGCTACTCTCCTCTCCCTCTGAGCCAAAAGGGTGCTCAGTACACAAAGCAGGATGCTGCCAGTTCAGAGGACAGAACACTTCCTTCCCGTGTTGGTTTTTTTTTCCCTCTGCCTCACTACCCACGTTCTGTACCATCCCTAGCCTTCTGCGTTTCCTGTGGAGCAGCCTCAATAAGGGGACAAAAAGTTGAAGCAAACAATAGAATTGCTTTAAAAACGAAGGGAGAGAAATGGGGCAGCAAAAGAATCGGGTAAGAAGTTATAAAGCCCAGTTCACCGAACTCCAGCAAAAACTGATGCTATGCCCAGAGCAGGATTCAAATTCCTCTGAAATCCGTCTGCTTTGATAAATGCATTAGTTATTCCCTTGTCTACAGATTGGCACTGTGGGAGCTGCTTCCTTACTATCATTAGGACCCTGAGGTACCCTTTAGAATGATAATTTACTATCTAGCACCTGCCAAACACCCAGCTTGTCTTCAGGGACAAATGGGATAATGGGGACACAAAAAGTAAATGGATGCCTTAGTATTCCTATGGGACAGATGCTCTATTTGGTCAAAAACTAAAAACTGAAACTCCTCTCAGAGTCTAGGTCACCAGCAAGCCAGATGTTTGAAGGAGCTTGAAGCAGGCTGTTCTAGAGCATATTTTAGACTTTTATTCTGAAATCCCTGTTTATTTTTTTCATTTGCATTGACTCAGACACTGGATAAGCTTTGTGACCCTGGGGGAGTTATTTAACCTTTCTGAATCTCAGCTTATTCATATATAAAATAGGCATACTCACACCTGCCTATACTGTAGAGTTAAAAAGATGAAATGAGAGAATGTAAGTTAAGTCACCCAATGCCATAGAGAACTAAACCCTTTTGAAAGCTGGTATTCAAGAAAGGTCTGGTAATATATGCCATAGACTGGCATGAGAGAATGAGAATCAAAAACAATTATGGCTCTTTCAGCTCCATATCCACCCATGATGCAAGAGAGGGCCTTCCCAGACTTATTCTATTTCATTTTGAACTCTTCAATTGAAAACTTTTTTTTCTCCTGCTGCGCATTATCAAATATATTATTTATCACAAAGGCTTTTCTTCCCATAGCTCATAAGCTCAGAACTTACTGTGCATTCAAGGATAGAAATTGTTGCCAACAAATGCATTTTTTCAATTGCTCTCTTAAATGTTTTTTCTTCTAAAGCTAGTCTTGAGCTGGGAGGAGTATTCAGTCAGACCAGAGAAAAAACAGAAAAAATATTAATTATTTTACTATATATCACTGTATAGATGATACTGTATAGATGTCATCTATACATCTATACTGCAGATGACAGTCGTGTGAAAACATGACTTTGTGCAAGGATTATTTTTTTTAAACAAAAGATATATAATAATTTTCTTCTCCCAAGTCAGTTTCATAAGCCATTTCCTTTGGGGTTCCCCCCAAAGACTTCTGAACTAAGGTAATGCGAGGCCTCATCCAAATGAATCCTAAATGCTGCTTGAAGAATCTACACATGATGAGACATTGTTGATATAAAATATCTTTTCAATATAGCAGTTCACATAAAACTAGTCAAAGCAAAACTGGGAAGTATATTGCATGTTCCACATAGAATATTATTCCCTCACTCTTCACACACTGAATCCTTTTTACCCTTGACAACTCAGCTTAAATGTCCTCCCTGACCAATCTAAATGACATTTTCTAACCTCTGTTCTCTCTCAGATCCCCAATATAAAATATATCCCAATTTATTATATATATATATCTTTTTTCTATGTATTTGTTTATAGTATACCTCCACTTGTAGACATAAGTTCCATGATAATAGGAACCCTATCTGTTTTATTTACCATTATAGGACCAGGGCCTAACCCAATAAAACATTTAAAATATATTAATGAAAAAATAAAAATAAAGCATGTCTTCAGAGGCCTCTGGTTCCCAAACTTTGGGATATATAAGCAGCCCTTGGAGGTTTCTTAGATACAACACCAAAAGCACAAGTGATTAAAGAGAAATTTGATATGTTGGATTTCATAAAAATCTAAAACTTTAGTGCTTCCTAGAACACCATCAAGAAAATGAAAAGACAACCCATAGAATGGGATAAATTATTTGCAAATCATATATCTGATAAAGGACATGTATCCAGAATATATAAAGAACTTCTACAACGCAATAATAAAAAGGTAAACAACTCATTTTTTAAATGGGTGAAGGATCTGAACATACATTTCTCTGAAGAAGATATATAAATGGTCAATAAGCACATGAAAAGCTACTGGACATCATTAGGAAAATGCATATCAAAACAATAAGCTTCCACCTTCCACCCATCAGGATGGCTATAATGAAAAATACAATAACAAGTATTGTGGAAGATGTGGAGAAATTAGAATACTTGTACATGGCTGGTGGGAATGTCAAATGATGCAACCACTTTAGAAAACAGTTTGGCTGTTCCTCAAAATGTTAAACATAAAGTTACCGTATGACCCAGTAATTTCACTTCTAGATATCTAACCAAGAGAAATAAAAACATACACCCACACAAAAATCTGTTTATGAATGTTCATAGCAGCATTATTCATAATAGCCAAAAGGTAGAAACAACCCAAATGTCTGTCAGTGGATGAATGGATAGACAAAATGTGGCCTATTCAATGGAATATTTTTCAGCCATAACAAGGAACGAAGTGCTGACACATGCTACAACATGAATGAACCTTGGAAACATTATTTATGCTAAATAAGAGAAGCTAGACACAAACGGCCACATACTGTATGATTCCATTTATATGAAATATCTTGAATAGGTAAATCTAAAGAGAGAAAGAAAATTAGTGATTGCCTAGGGCTGGAGGTGGAGTGGTCTGCGAGTGATTGATGATGGGGTACAAGGTCTCTTTTAGAGATGATGAAAATGTTCTAAAACTTGATCATGCGATAGCTACACAACTGTGAATATATTAAAAAACAGTGAATTCTACATTTTAAATGGATGAACTTTATGGTATGTAAATTATGTCTCAATAAAGCTCTTTTAAAAAAATCAAAAGAATCCCTTGGGAAATTTGTTAAGCTGCTGAGTTTCAGGCTGCATTCCCAGAGAGAATGACTCTTCAGGAGTGTGGGTAGCTGCTGTTTGCTGTTCAGCATCCATTCCCTTTCCTGCAGGCGGTGTACCCTTAAATTTCCTTCGGGAAACCATTGCTTCCCCCTAGGGGTCAGCCATGGGGTTTACATAGAATTGACCTCTCCTCCTTCTCCAGGGTTGGACTCTGATTGTCAGCATCTCCCATCCTTCTCAACCACATAATTGGTTCAGGGATGGAGACCAGTCAGATTGAAGCCTCAAGGACATTTTGCTGACAATGCTGGGTGGAACCAAAGCTTAGGAAGTACAGAAAGGTATGTGTTGGGGGTGAGAAATAGGAGAATTTAGGCCCTGGCTGAAGTATTTGATCCTGGATGAAGCCTTCCCTGAAGCTGATGTACCCCTGGACCCATCAGTTACAGGACCCAACAAATATTTTTTTAAGCTTATATGCGTTTATTTCTCTGTTACTTGGAACACAAAGCATCGAACTGAGTAGTTCTCAATATGACATTTTGGAAATCTGTGGGAGCATTTGGGGGTTGTCACGATAATTAGAGGGCACTCCTGGCATTTAGTGGGTGGGGGCCAAGGATACCAGACGTCTTGAAGTATGTGGGACTGTCCTAGGCAAAAAGAACGCTGTGACTTTTGAAGGACCCACAAAAAAAACTGTTGACCATTTTCTGAGTCTAGAATCAAACTATCTTAATCTGATCACAAAGGTGTTGTTTGCTTTGTTTTGCATGGTTCTGTTACACACCAGTGTGTTCAGGAATGCCATTACTGTGTAAACTGAGGGAAGAGTGTACTTTGATTTGTTCAGACTTCACCAAGATTTGTTCATCAGTTTGGAAAATCACTGTCACTTAAGGTATCAGATTTACCAATACAAGTTAGGTGACTAGGTCTACATTTTTATATGTCATGTTCACAGTGACCCTATCTATGAC